GATAAATAATAAATAAATAAATAAATAAATAAATAAATAAATAAATAATAAATTAAATAAAGCGTCTAGGTATACTACTCCCTCTATGCCACCCGAAGGAAGCACGAAGGCTGGGATAATATCAGGTTATCCGAGATAAGAACGCACGAAGGCTGGGATAATATCAGGTTATCCGAGCCTAGATAAGAACAATCGAGATATTGAGATTGATTGCAGACCACCGACCTCCAATCAGTAAGTTCGAGTCATCCCGAACTCCATTCCAGCTGAATCTCCGGTTCGTGGTAATTTTAAACTGATTGTGCCGCCCGAAGACCACCTCGCCTTCCAGCTGGAAAGACGTTTAATTGCCAGATAAAATTTAATTAACCCGAAGAAGGGTGAAAACAACAGTAAACTGTCCACAGTTTTGATCGTTCATAGGGATGTCAATTCAAAACGCTTGAGCCAGAACAGACCGACAGCTCTTCGTTTTTTTGCACCACGGATGTCAAAACATCCAACCATAGGACATTAGTCAGGGACATAGATATTTTAGTGCCCTCTCCCGGTCAGTTATTTATTGTCATACTGGCTTACAAGTCCACTGAATGGTGCCACGTTTTTTGTTGACGGAGTACCGAAACATTTTGTTCCCCTCGATATCAGAGGTAGAGAAGCTTTTCTGAATGCTATGTTCTCTCCCATCTATGAACAAACGAGACATAGATATCGGAAGCTCCAAAATCAATGGTAGATGTGGAGGTAGACACTTTGTAACTTTTGTCATGATACGCATGCGCATTGCTTACAATGAGTCCAGTATATCGGAAGAGCACAATAAGTTCGCACAGCCACAAACGTGTGATATACTAACTACTAACAAACGAGAGTTCATCTATTGATGTTTCGAAGTTCAGGTATGGGCGTGGGATGGAAGTAGGCAGGTCACAACATTCGCTGCAGGCGCAGCTATATATCCGATTTTCTTGAGCGAATAGATTGGACTCGTCGTGAGCAGCGCGCTAAAAAAAATCCTGGGTTTATTATCACACAGTGATCGTCATAACCAAGACTACAACCTAAGCACTCCCTTCCTACGCTTATACTTGAATTTCGAAATCTCAACAGTTGAACCCTCTTTTATCTACAGCTAGTTTACTGCCTTTTGCTCTTCCAATATCGTTTCTCGCCTAAACACCAGTTTTTACCCACGAACGTTTGGCTCGGTACGTGCCAGTACGTTCGCAGAATAGACTAATCTAGTCGTGCAGATGCCCTGGAGACCGTTGCTGACCTCTTTTGATACGCAACCCCATTGTCAAAAGATAGGTAATGTGAAACGGTGCACGCTCACAGGAGACCCGAATAGATCACTCGTTTGTGACATTTTTCAGCCAAACGCGCCATGCGGTTGTAAACTGAATATTGATCCACCTGAAACCTGAGATGGCTTTTGTGTAACAAAATCGTCGAAGGATATGATAAACGAGAGGTTTTTAGAGCCCCGCTTGAATATCAGTTTATAAATGACCGTGTAATTCCAATTATATTAACTTTGATGACCAATTATAAAATGGGGTTGATGGACTTTCATGTACTGGATTTGCCTAATTAGAAGAAAGGCGTTCGGCTGTAACACCCTTTCGGGGCATAGCTGCCATACCAACCGAAGGAAGCACGAGGGCTGAGTTAGTTGCCTAAGCCCAGATCAGAGCGGTCGAGATGCAGAGGTCGGGTTTGATCAGCTGAGTTTTCTCGGGCTCTGTTTCCTGATGAGCCTTTGAATGGCGAGACTGGTGGCGGACTGTTGAAGAGTTTTCACTACCAAGGGACGTGTTTCTAATCAAGCGACCACATTTATGGGCTAGGTCATCATCTTCTTCAACAGCATGACATTACTGTTCAACACTGATGCTTCGCTGCCGCATAACCACGATTTGTTCGAATGCCGTATTGTGAAGAGAGGAATGAAAGTGGATGGAGAAGGGACTTAGTGATAGCCTACTGCAATCATTCCGAAGTGCCTCCAGACACTCATTGAGATAATCTGGATAGACACCGACTACAAGAACTCTGCTGGCATCGATTAGCAGCCATAGATTGCAGTGTCTCCATTCAGGCGCAGTGGGGATCACGCGGTCCACATCCTGGAAGGCGAGTAACACCGACAGCAACCTCTGCCAGGTCAACGCTTGGTCACCTCTCTACCTCCGCCACTCTGAATTGGGCACGCGAAATAGCATTCTCTTTCGTAAACGATCGTTAGGTACACACAATACATAATCTAAACAAACACAGCTTCTGGTTCTGGACACATTCCTCAGTGGAAGTCCGCGTTTCACAACCTAACACCCGTTTTCTAATTGCCTCGTTACGCATTCTCCGACACCAACCTACACGAGCTATGGTTCTGAGACAACGATTGTAGAACACCTGAAGGCGTCTCAGTTCCGCTTCTTGGACGGGCACACAGCAAAACAGCCCTCACTGTAGCCTGATACCCACGTACCCTGAGATTAAGGGATACACCACTTTGATGCAATAGGTATGTTGATTGGGCAAACGCGACCCGAGCCTTGAAGATTCGTGCATTCACCTCATCTGACACACTACAGTTGGAACTAATACAATTTCCAAGATACGTAAAACGCTCCAAAACTTCCAGTACCTCTCCGTGGATTGTAAGTGGCGTGTTCAGTGACTGCAGGTCCATAAGCGTGTCCAAGGACTCATTCTAAATGACGGGATGAATTTGACCAGTTCATCCCAACGCACCTGTCCTCTTTTCTTTGAATACCAGAACGATGTTTTATACATATTCCAGATCCACAAGGTCTGTAGCTTCTATTTAAACACAATGGTTTTGAAGACCTCCTAGCGTTTTTTCAGTACCTCGTAGACCACGAAATTAAATAGACATAGAGAGAGTGCGCGCTCCTGATCGCTTTGTGTAGGGAAGCTTTTGGAGATACTCTCACACGTCCAGAAGTCTGAAAATGGAAAGAAGTTATTGCGTTCACAAACTTCCGGGGCATTCCTTGATGGACAAGCGTATCAAGGTGAGCCGACCTGTCAACCGAGTCGAATGCGCCTTGGAAATCCAGGAATGCTAAAACTTTGGTTATAAGCTAGATCACTCTCTGCAGACCGTACTTTGTGGATAATTTTTCCTGGATAGCGAAGCTGACAATGTTACATAGAAAGGTGCCAAAAATTATGAAACTCAAGTGCGAACGTATGCTCCCATTGGCCATTCCATCGTCCTTTTGGATCGTCAGCTCTTTTGTCACTAACTTTTTTATATTTTCTAACTTCACATCTTTCAGCTGAAAGTGATTGCCAGTCTTCAAGCAGCCCAGCCGACTATTCAGATGCTTTTGCACAGCAACGACTTTTGTACTGCCCTAGAACTAGTCGCCTCAACACAGGAACTGCTTCAATCTTCCGAGCAAGTGCCCTCGAGGACTGGACCTACATCCAGCACCAACGTTCCTCTGGATCCAACTATCGGTAGCTCACAACAAATCACCTGTTTGCGACACCTCAGCGCACAGCTAATTGAAATTTCGCGCTTTGTGCGACACATGATTGAAGCCGAATTCGAGGCATCCCTGCGTCAATTTTTGGAACCTCGTCCATCCGGTGCTGGTCAGTACAGAAGGCCTGATGTGAGTTGATCGATCTGACCTGGTTATTGTGTATAGCAGGGAGCGAAAAAGTGTGTTTCAACCGTCTTCTGTTCGATATTTACATACTTCTACTCACAAAACGGAGAATTAAAAAAACAAAACAGATCCGTCCACTAGCGAACACAACATGCTAATTCTGTTAGCTTGGAAAAAAACAGACTGTGCATTGCTAGTGTTCAGTTAGACTTGCAAATGTCATTTTTTAATCTCTCCACTGTGAAACATTTTTGCTAGAGCGCTGAGCTCTCCATGAGGTCCCAACGCTTGGTTTAGCAACACTAGAGAACCATTGCAGACTTTATTTTTGTTCCTTTCTTCATATAACCATGACGACCTCTTTTTGGTAGTCTTGTATGGGAAGTACATCCCCTGCGCTTTTCGAAGAGCTATCCCTCACACCCTGTGTTGGGCATGGTACACGCCAGCTTTCATCCAAGTAAACCGTAAAGAAGACGCTAGCCCTCGGTTCGACAACAACGGGACGAAAGTAACAACTACAAAGTTAAGTGCTGTAACCCCCCAGGTGTGATTTCCCGAAAACTTATTGGATCGCGAGTGTTTTAATCTGTAATCCACAACAGCTTATAGTTCGAACCCAAGCTCACGCAGTGCTACTGGGCCTCTGTTATATCTGCTGATTCGCCAATCTGTGGTATCTGCTGCTGACTCGCTCCAGTGCTTAATACCGAAAAAAAGACTCACAGAAGGGAGCACAACAGCTATATTTTAAACAAGCGAGTGCGAGAGCCAAAGTACAATGATCTCAAGGTATTTATTGGGGGGGGGACACTGTCTGAACTTGGTTCAATGCTGACGCACGCGTTCTGGCCTTGGTACGGGGCTGTTACGTGCTGCACATTGCGGGGGCATTATCTGACCTTGACCAACGCTGACTCGCGCTGTCTGGGTTTGATACAAGGCTGTGAGGCGCTGCATATTAAGAGGACATTGACTGTCTGGTCAACACCTAGCGGAGCTGAAAGTCTCGGTAGATTTCGAGCATTCAGTGGTTGTTTTCAGGAAGCTGACCTTCCTGATAGCCTCAGTGAGGGGAAGTCACTGTCTAGCGCTTACTTATTGATAGTGAGTAAATCTTCGCGTCTCGAAACAGCTCAGGGATTACTGCATCAGCACGTGGTCGAAAAGTTGTTAGTTTAGTACTGTCAGTTAACGTTTCGACTGCTTCTAACTAGACCTGTTTCCTCTGACTGTATTTCAATAATCGTGTTCTCTACCGCTCTCTGATACGAAACAGCTCAGGGATTACTGCATCAGCACGTGGTCGAAAAGTTCTTAGTTTAGTACTGTCAGTTGACGTTTCGACTGTTTCTAACTAGACCTGGTTCCTCTGACTGTATTTCGATCATCGTGTTCTCTACCGTCTCTCTGATAGTTATGCACCGAGGTGATGTAACGGCTGTACGAGTTGATTTGAAGTTCGAGAGCGACCTAATCAACACTGTGGAGTCTTATCATAACCTGTAAACAGAATTCGTGCTTAATCAGACAGTTGCATACAACTTTAATATGGGTTTGTGGTTGTACGAGGTTTTTTTCAATTCTGTGGAGTTTGACGAAGCATGTGAAGCAGATCGGCTAGGATTGGTAAGTGACTACAGATACGAATAAATTTATGTAGCAATGGATTTGTCGACTTGTTAATCGATAATCGAGTGAAACCTGGTCACATGGTTTCAACTGTTGACTACTGTGAGGCGTGGACTTACTATTGATGCTGATTATATCTAACTCAACTTCTCTTTTGGATGAAAATCCAGTTCTAAGAAAGCGTGTGTAGCCTCGTTCCACAAACTTGAAATTGTGGAAGACGCTAATCAATGCGGGTAATTAATTGTTCATCTGATGCAGTGGCAAAAAACAGATCAAAGGTCCAAATTACGAATTACGTTCATTCAGGATTCTGACAGGCCTAAATCGATCAGGCGTTACAAGTATTTTTGACGGGACGGACCGGTGAAAAAAGGAACACAACGAACTGCTTGTTTCATTGCAAATCGAAACAACCACTCTTCGCTTGATGGGAACGATTTTTACTTAGGCCGAGGGGATGATGGTTTGGCATCAGTGTTGTAATTATCCAGTGGGTCATACAAACCGGAACTCTGTTTTTAAAGATCCGGCTATCCTGAGAAGAATATTGAAAAGACCAAACAAAAAAGTAGTGAGCCTCCTGCTGCAGCCGGTCTCAGTACGACGCGGTCTGCTGTATGAGCGTGAACTAGTCTAGATAGCAACTCCCGCTTACTAACGTGCTCATATTTAAAGAGCAACGACGCTGTCTTCCCGCGGGAATGGACGGTTAGGAAAGGTTGTCGCTGCAGACCTCATATGCCGACCAGCCATCTAATGTGGTTGAAAAACGCCTATGAACCTGCTGTTCTCGAGATAACTAATTGGTGAAGGCGCGATTACTGACCGGAAGATTCATGCTTCGAAGCCAACCCCAGCATCTCGACTGCAACCTACCAACGTTCCGGCCCTCGTGCTTCCTTCGAATGGTGTGCCATCAGCCGGGTCGCCTTACTTGCTGCTTACAGCGGGGCGGGTAAGCGAAGGCTGGCTACTGCTGATGCCTTCCTTCTTTTTTAGCATATTTTTCCTCCTCCCAACAACAACTCCCTTCTTGTAGGTTCGTTAGTTAGGACTGATGACTCTCCTCGTCCTGCATCGGTTCTGCAAACAAGACTTGCGCGTCATGCGGTGCTGATATCCTCAAGCATCTCGAGCCTGTCTTTTTCTATCCACATTGGCTGATAGAGTACCTACACAGGCACTTCGGAATGATTGTAGTGAGCTGTCACTAAGTCCCTTCTCCGCCCACTCGTATTCTTTTCACAATAAGGCTTTCAAATAAGTCATGGTTGTACGGCAGCGAAGCATCCGTGTTGGACACTGTTGATGATGACGGTGATGAAACATCGACCTTAGCTGTCTCGAGCAAAAAAGGCATAGCTTTTGCATAATCTGGACATCCCACATGCCTACTCTACATGAGCCGTTGTAGCAACGGTTTAGGAGCAGTAAGAACGGTACTCTTGGTCAAACTATTGTCCTTTAATAAATCATACTGGACAAGTTAGTATGGCCAAGTTATGGCACATGAAGACTGACCGGAGGTGGAATGCCGTGAACCACGGAAATCTCATTTCCTTTGGCATGTTCCACTTTTCTTGAATTTCCCAAGCAGAACTGAGAAAAACTGTCTCAGATACCTCGCTCACAGCGTTCACAACAACTCCTAGGACGACGAATGGCCGCGTTTACCTCTGGACCGCCTGTGTATGCATATGTGTGCCAATTCGTCACTTGATCGACCGGTGCCCTTCTCGGCATTGATTATTTAATAATATGTCATGGTACTGCCCTGCCGAAAAGTACCTACCTGCTACTCTCATGAGGAACTCTGAACGCTGGAAATCAAGGTTTAATGCTCAGTGTGCAATAAGCGGTGGCATCAAGTCCATCTGACTTCCACCAATAAGGACGGAATGCTTGTGTAGACCTAAATTGAACTGATACCTATCTTTCCAACTGAGTGAGCCTGCTTTTTTCTTCACCCACTCTATCCAACCTAACTCTAGCGTGTGACTGTTGTCAACGTGATTTAATTCTACCAGCATATGCCATCATATGAAAGTGATGTCCACTGACCTTCGTTTCTTTGGCCAGTCAGTGTGAGGTCCTTCAATATGTACACTTTCTGGCTGCAGGCATAGAGTTGTCAGAGTTGTCAGGGTAGTAGGGTTTAGGTTTCGTCTGGCTTAAGTGCGGTCTCCATTTTATTCTAACCTCGATTCAACTCAAGTATGGCATAACACTGCGACAATGTGTGGGATATCGCTGAACAATCTTACTCTTTTACCTTCGAGTACGGATTAGTCACGTACGAAAAAAATCCAAACCGATGTACGATGGTACTCATTACGTTCTCGTCGTTTCCTTTGCAACTTTTCTGCCTGTCTAGCGGCTCTAGATGACTACCTTTGTTTAACTGTTCAGCCGAATCGTGACTTGTTCGTCTGGTCGTTGAGTGCACAATATTGAGCGGATCGATAAAACTAGTATTGAAGTAAATGTATCCCTTAGCGAGTCAAATCGATCCGCATGCACCCTAGTTGGACAACGTGACTAATCCGACTAGCACGTACGATTGTATTTTTTCACTACAGCCACTTCTTAGTTAGGTAGGGCTGTGACCCGCTGCCTATGAGTTGCCAGACTACCTGTATGGATATGCACGTTTTTAATCGTATCCATCAACCGAACAAGCGTGGTCAACGTTTACATCTGTCTTCATTTGATGGGCTTCAGCAAGGACAGAGGTTTTCTCTAATCATAAATAATCTGAGCAACAATGTCGATGCTTCGTTTAGAAGGAGTAAAGCGAATTTTGTTGAATTAAAGGGGTCAGATCCGGGCAGCTAAGGATCTCACAGGACGATTGCAGCCATCGAGCTATACACAGTTCGTATTCAGAGGGCAGTAGATGTTTTATCGAGAAACTGGTTCTATGAAAAAACGGGTTAATAAACATCGTGAATTAAACAAGACGTACAGTCAATAATGACGCAATCGGTAGGAGCATAAAAATGTTCAGTGAGGCAGCAGAGCTTTCTGGAAGCAACAGCAAGTAAGCACCGAATGATGCACAAACGTACAAATATAGTCAGTCAGTGTAACTTGCAGAAAACAATCACCACATTGAAGAGGTAAGGAACTTTCTTTGGCTGGATGCAGCACCTCGTGTCACCTGCTTAACCGGATGGCGCGCTTAAGTCTGTTTAAAACAGACCTTAACGGAGGCTATCTGGCAGATACGGTGTAAACGAAATATGAAAATACGGACTCCCGAGGAATCGTGTTGGTGCGGTGGAGAACGCGCTCGTCTGTCGTCCAAGGACTTATGAGCTCGATACCCGGCTCGTACCTTTTTCCGCCAGAGCGTATACTTGAAAATAGGCATATCTGGCATGAAATGGCAAGCGAAAATGAACAGCAAATAAACCTTGAGAACCTGGAGAATAAGCAGACCTTAAGCAGGAGTGAAAACTGGGGGGACGAAACGGCGTCATAATATATAATCGCGCTACTCATGAGTAGTCAGGACAGAAAAGAAAAACAACCCCTAGTCATCGTTAGTTCGCGAAAGGAATCAACAAAAGATCTGATCACTGTAAGGGAAGACGAATGGACGTAAATTTGCCACTAACAATACCGCCATTTCCATGCCGATTTGCGTGCACCCCGAAGGAAGCACGAGGGTTGACAAGCTGCCAGATTGTTTGGGAGCAGTCGAAATACCCAGAATTAATTTTGAATCACAGACCTTCCGGTCAGTAATTTCGCGTCTCGATCACTGAGCCAACTCGAGCTCTAATTCCCTCTTCGGAGCAATGAACCCAAATGTAATTACTATCGCGTGCATTCAAAAATGAATGTGAACGATACGCTTCAGACGAAGCCCTCCCGACTCATACCGGGACCAAATGCTTCTCGTCATCCGACATTTTATTCACTCTCTGATGGATCTGCTGCTTGTTTGTGTGACCAAATGTGGCCGAATGAAGGTCAAAGTCAAGATACGCATGTTTCTGGTAGACATAAGGCTGAAAGTCCGCTTATCATCTTTTATCTGTTTTATCTCGTCCACTATTGTGAGCAAAGCGTTAGAACTGCTTCAATGGAAGATGAGAATTTATTCGCGTCATGATATTTTTACTCTTCGAAACTGCCGCTTTAAAACGGTTACTTTGCCACAAAGTGACTCCTTCAACGTTGTTGCGGTCATCTTTTCTCTGGGCGCACACTCTCGAGTTTCTTTGCTGCGGAATTATCTCTTGTGGGAGGAAGCTTGCAGTTGGAGTACACTACAAGTAACTAAACAAAACTGAGTCCTCTCAAAGAAGAGTCCTTTCTGCCCGAGTTGTCTGTGCTCTGGAGAACTGACATTGCAGGATCAAGCACGCATGCCGAACACCATCTTGGTCGCTGTTTTTTGCCAGGTTAGGACCATGTTTCTCCTCTGGTTATCATATCAGTTCATCCTGTAAAGATGAAGCCCATCAGTGCATAGCTGTTCTACTGCCAGAGGAAGCACAAGATTCCACAAGGTTTCCCAAGCCGAAACTGAAAATTCGGAGACTCACAAACCTGTTGGTCAGTAGCTCGCTAATTTTCTTCTGCTACACTTTGAGCTCTTTTTCTTCCAAGATGGCAAAAAATGTTAGTAAATCGGCTGTCTGTTCCTGGTTCTTTGTCGTTTGTCAGTGGACGAAGTCATCCATAGATATGGCCTGTTTACAGAGGTCTGCTGAATCTTGGTTCTCGACCACTTTCATGGCAGTCAGCATCCGGTTTTGAAAAGCGAACCATGTCGTCGTTGGTTACTGCCTTGCATACTCCAGAATAGCCTCACTGAAAGATTAGCGTTGCAATTTAGGTCTCCTCTGCTTCTGTCGTGATGACAACAGGCCATTTTCACACAACCCGGTTGTTCTTCGGTCCGTATTACTGGTTGTGATTGCATAGACAATCCGTCAGGTAGCCGTCCAGCTGGCTGCTCAAATCAATAAAGACTGCGCCACATTACAAAAGCCTGTGCTGCCCACTTACTTTTTTCATTTCCTGAGAACACTTGGTTTCACGAACGTTGCGTTTTTTTGCCTTCACCACCAATCATTGATGATCAACCATCCTCCGTCCGTCGAATTGGTTTGTACAAGTTGGTACCCTGTCTTCTTGGACTATTACACATCAAACGTCACGACTTTGTCAGTGCGTTCCGGGCTGAGCTGCTACGCCAAGTGAAGCTGGTCCAACATTCCAGATCTTCCAATGGTGTGGACGCTGATGATGAATCCGCGAAACCTGAGTAAGTGCATTCTAGGAGTTGGTAATTTCAGATGTATTCCATCCTCCCGGCTGTCAAGCTCCTGTCTCTGACTAACACCTTAGTATTAGAGTTGCTCTGCTATGCCGAGGTTTCGTACTCTAGATGTTCCTGGTATACTGACGCACAATCACCCCCTGTAAAGACCTTCCTGGCTGGTCTCCCCCAGTAACCGAGCACTTGCCTGTTCTTTGTGCTTCTGTGTTCAGGATGGTTCATTCACATGTTACTCTGAAATTGGTTCAGTGTCGTTCTATGCGCTTGTCACACTGTCATAGTTGCTGCTTCTTAAGAAGTTGCTCCAATCGCGCTTTTTTGAGAGTTCCCACGCCAAAAACCGTTGGTCAATGACGTTTCAAATATCTCGCTTCTATCTGAAGTATTTCCATCAAAGTTGCCAGCGCTAGTTCAAATGAAATTCCAGAAAATCGGCCAGTTTCTTTCTGTCTTTGTAGTTCTATTCCTGTCTAAATTGACGTTTGATTAGTTTTGTACAAGACCTTTCATTTTAATGATGCTTGGGACTTGCGTCTTGTTGATTCTCAACCAGAATGAGATTGCTTCAACTCAGTTGCTTCAATGTTCTTTATTTTGCTCTCTGGTTGCAGAGAAAATTTAACTAAAAGAGCAGTCGGGTGCTCAAACCCGGATGGATAAATGTTACATCATTAGAGTGTACAGTCACGCATTCGACCGTTTTGTTTTTCTCCCGATCCGTGTTACAGCATGAGGGCAAAGTGGCTCGGCTTCCATCCCACCACACCTAACGAGTAGCAAATGTCTTCAAATTTTGTGAGGATTTAATTGTGTACATGAAACCATTCTATGCTTCAATCTGAGAACTGTACAGCTGTGTCATCTTCACTATGATTTATCAGCAGTGCGCATCTCGCGAAACCCCGGAGAATCCCGAACCCACTACCTCCTTGCTGGTAGTTTGAACACTTAGCCGTTCGGCCACGAGCGACTGACCAACAGTGTGCTTAACTCGCACTTAGACAGGATATAGCGCCGCTCACCCTTCGATCACGGGATTCACATCACGCGGTCACACGTGTTGACTGGTTCTTCGAGCAACGACTTCAGATGGAAGTTTCACTCATCGGGTGAAGTTTATTCTTCCACTGATCTACTCACAGGTTGTTGGTAGTCTGAGGAGATTTGGGATTTTTGTGGGGATTTCATCCTCAACTTAATGCAGGCGTAGCTTATTGCTCCTGAGATTCACGCGTGGATAGCTGTGACAAGCTTATGTTTTGCACACATCGTTCAGTGGGGTACCCAGTCGGGCTGCACTGGTGTCAGCTGTTCACAGTAGTCGGATTTTATCCAACCGGGTCGGTTTACCAGTCTACAACTTCCATTTGAAGCCGAATCATTTGCAGTCGGACTACTTGATAGCCCGTAATTCACACCACCATGCACTACCAAACTCACTGTCTCCAATTTTATTCAACCCTATTCGGTACGGCGGTGATTGCATGTGTGGAGTTTGCAGTATCTTCGTCCAAACAGAACATGTGGTGGCGAGTGGTTAGGTGTTCCGGTGCGTTTGACTCATTGTCAGCTGACCGGTTTCAACATCTGAGGGCAGACAGCAGCGCTTCAGCTGCTGATGCGATCTGTCACCCTATAAGGGTGGCCTAAAGAACCCGTGAACGTCGCACTTTCATTCGTCGTCTCATCCTAACTGATGTCCTAAACAGTTAGTGGAACGGCAAGGTTATCTTTTGCAGCTGTACGTAACAGGTGCTGTGGATTAGCGGAAGTCTGAGGTTAATGGTTAGTTTGCTTGTATAAAACAGTTGTACTCAGTGTTTAGTATAATTGTTTTGTACGGTCAATGATTTCTCGGGCTAAGGAGATCCACTGAATGTTGGATTACCTTGCCTGGGAGTGGTCTGAGAGGAGCCTGACTGCGTATCCCAGCGGGAAGCACTTTGTGGTATGGGCAGATAGTTCTGATAAAGGAATAGACTTCATGTGGTGGATCTTACGGGAGGGGTTATCAAATTATGCTGGCTTGGATGACCAGTGTTTGCGCTTTTGAGTCTAGATTCTTCAGCGAATCTACCCAAGGGAACTACGTCTGAGCAGCGTGCGCAATAACTCTCTGTACAGTCCGGTTAGATAGCAAGATAAATGTGAATCAGCTAGCCTTCGATCTGTGAAATTTACGCACTTTAGTGTTTCTGCGAGCTCCGTGTAACTTGCTTGGTGTGATAAACTATGTCACGTCTTGCCAAATACACTCATTTGCAAACCGGCAGGGGAGAAACCGTTCGTGGGCTGTTGAAGAGTTTTGAAAAAACCGTATAAGTGGTGTGTTAAGTCTAGGTTGTGTCCAGGACCGACCACCACTAAACGGATAGCTCCACCTAGTGGGATTGAACCACACTGAGTAGCTACACGGCCATGTTGGAGCTGTCTGTCTATTGCGTGCATGCGTACACTGTCTTTCCCAATAGAAGTCTTGTCATTCGTGATCAATGATATTCGCTCGCCATCTACAATCGACAAAGCGTGTTTCGGTTTATCTGTCTCCTTAACTTTGAGGGGAACACACCTCCATAAGTTAAGACACACTACCAGATTCCTTCGGAAAGCTGAGTAGATGCGTCCTAATGGAAGGGTCCCTCCAAAAGGCAAACCATCTATCCCAATCGCTCCAAGGTCATCATAACCGTCTCTTATTCCAGAGTTGAGCCGCTCTTTCTCGCCAGAAGCCAAGGGACGTGTTTGGCACGAGTGTATGCTTATTGTGTTTTTCCTCCTCATTGCGTTGAGCGCACAACACTTGAGTTTCATTTAAACTCAACTATTTGCGACCCAGCGTCCTCTGTACTTCTTTATCCTCTAAATTGGGGTGAGATGGCTCAAGCGGTTAGAACACGAACTTACTGACCGGAAGGTCCGTGTTTCGAACCCAACATCTGCCTCTTGACTTCCCCTGTCTAGGCTTGGGCAACCTGGCAGTATCCCAGCCCTTGTGCCTCTTTTGGGTTGCATGGCAGCTAGGCACCGAAAGGGTGTTACAGCTGAACGATTCATTCACAAATTGCTGCGATAACTTGGAACGCAGTGGTACTTTTATTCTTGGTTATGTACTTTAGGCGGGAAATCGTGTATCTGCATATGCATGCCTCTCGGTCCTACTCATGAACACAGAGGGTGATTCACTACAACCTTATAGAATCCGGCACTGGACGTTCGGTACCATTTGTTGCTGATTTTTCACTTTTCACCTTTTCTAGAGTCCCTTTAAAGGAGCACATTGCCACAATGTCTAGCGAGGAGTGGATTGAAACGATTGCTCAGCGCTGTAAGGAGCTTCAAGAACTTCTCATACGTGCACAGGTCAGTTTTCCATGTCGCACCACACATTATTTGTTTTTTTAGTACTCTTCACGCCATTTTATCTAGACAACATAGATATCCAATGTGAGATCTGCGAAGCCTTCTTCCACCAACACTCACCAGTAATTGGCTGCGAATCTAAGCCCCAACTTTCGTCTTTCGGTCTCTGTAAATGTTGTGATCATTGGGCTATAGACGGACGAGCCTTCATGTGACGTAATCTTCCGTATTACCTGCATACTAAACTTTAACAATCAATAATATGTAATCCATGAAAAATTTTAGTTAGATACCTTCTTGTATATCAAATTGTCTCGAATAGGTATCCTAATAGATTATTTGTCTGATACGTCCTTTGCCACGTACCACGAGCCTAAGAACATAGCGTTGTCAAATCACTGCTCCGCCAGTCGTTATTCAGTGAAACTCCACGGAACAACTATAGATTGGTTCCAGCAATCTGTTGGACCACGTCGAGTTGCGCGCGAAACCCCAAAAGCCAAATCTTTCAAATGGATGTTTATCTGCAAATGCGGTACTATAAGTACATTAATAAAATGATAAAACTTTACAAACCTCACTCAAATCGTGGGACTATGCCGGCTTCTATACACCGGTTTAGGAACTGCTAATTCCTAACGGGTCTCAAAGTCCACGCCGACTCAAAGCCATGTGTTTACAAACTAGCGAAACCACATGTGAACTTAAACAACACGCCTGATGACAAGGTCAAAGAACGGCTTATGTTCAGGTCCAAAACAAGAAGGGTAGTATAGATGCAAACCAAAATAACAAAAAGAAGAGGAATCACGTTGTACAACACAAAAATAGAAGAAAGGAATCAACAATAACTTCATTCTTGCTCCAATCTTCTTCCACCAATAGCGATCAGTCCACTGAAAGTTGACTTGGTCGGACTCTGCCGTCTTAGTCATCGATACCTTGAACATCCTGTCACACCCGCAAATAGTCCATCTGCTCGCGTTGCAGCCTGTTCCGGTTTCGTGCACATTCATATTACACTGTCAGAAACCAGGAATTTCCCCTATCTGAACTTTTTTGTCGGAAGTTAAGGCTCCTCATGAAAGAGTTTTCAAATTTGTGAGTCAATAAGGGGGCCTCAATCAACTGCTACTGAATATGATAACCGGTTATTTGGTAATTTCCCGTAAAGGTGTTCATAAGTTAATTCACTCAACTTCTTTTTCATAGTGGCTAACCAGGAATGTTTCGTAGTGAAAGGTATTTTCGGAAAGCTGGTGTTTGGAAGGTCCTCTTTGTCGTTTTATCCACCGCATTTAGCCACTCTCTCCTGCAGCATTCATACGGAAATTCTTCACTGGGTTTAAATGCTTATAGTTGTCTGCCTCATAATTAAGTTTATACTGCATTACAAACTGTTTTTGAACGCGATTCAGGCGGGGCAACAGTGAATTTACACTGGATAACGTTTCTAGTCATCTTGTTCTTGAACATGTTGATATAATCCGACTATACCCGACTGATGAAAAAAAACACTGAAAGCGATGAGAAATCAGATGCGAGAGCTCCATTGATTGGAAACAGTCTACGGCTTGTGACGGAAGTCAAATAAATATCAGAAATCAATATCAAACTATGTGTGTTGGGCTCGAGTTTTTACATTAGATTGAATGTCTCCTACCCTCCACAATTCTGCTTGTGAATGTAACGCAGGCGGTTTTTCCCGAGTTTCCGTGGTTAGTTACTATTGCTAAGCAAAGGCACTGTTGGGTTTTGGGGAAGAACCGCTATCGTGGCTTCCATATCGAGCACATCGGCCTCATTCGTTGGATCCGTAGGATGTAACGCAGGCGGTTTTTCCCGAGTTTCTGTGGTTAGTTACTATTGCTAAGCAAGGACACCGTTGGGTTTTGGGGAAGAACCGCTATCGTTGGATCTGTAGATTTGTTTGACGCAGACTCTTTTCCAGGTGCTTGTCGAACCTATCACCCACCTGGTCAAGGGGTATACCGGGTGCAGTTCATGGCAGCTAGATCGGAAGAGCG